TTATTCGAATATAAATGAGAAGACGTTTCACAAGTCAAAAGAACACTAACGCAAAAGCAGAGATTACGGTTGGTTATAATGTAAATGATGATAAATCACGAATTATTCAAAATGTTAAAGTTAATGTTAGTCCTGAATTAACAAGGTCAGCAACTCAACCAAATTTATTAACTCGTGACTTACCGAAGAATGAGGAGAATGAAGAAAACCATGAGAATGGAGACCCAATCATTTTATCTGAACCCGGTAAAGAACCTGTTGAAATTCCCACTTATCCAACATACCCCCCACCTCTTTCATCAAACATCGAGAACCCATATAAAATAGACATTAATTCAGAATTAATGAAAATTTACCGTGATATCATAACTGATAATTATGATTCAATAATAAATTTAATTGACCAATCCGGTTTAATTATTTTACCTTATGAATCATTAATTCACATTATCGCCATTCTTTGTGATGTTCAAGATTCAGACGTGAAGATTCAATTTTTCATAGATGATGAGGTTTCATGCTGCGGAACAGTTGCAAAAATAAATCCTATAAAGGATATTAGCACAATTAAGATATCAAAGAACGGAACAACAACTGAACTTCATTTAACATATAATGATATTTATAATAAAATAGTTGATGAATATAAAATATCACTTGAAAAATTCTTTGTTAAGGCTATTTAATATTCAAGCATTAACATTATCGAATAATAATCCTTTGAATCATAATCGATAATAATTGACCTTTCACCAGTTTCTATCGTTTGTTTTATTTCTTTTTGTTCCCCACTATCCGGATCAGTCATTGTAATTGTTTTTGTTATAGTATCTGCTTTATCTTTAACTTCAATCTTTTTTCCATCAGGATATTTAAACCAAAATTCCAAAAATTCGATATTGTCAATCTGTTCATATTTTAATCTATCAATTACATTTTTAATACCATCTGAAAATCTTATGAAATGGTCATTATATGGGTTTGATTGAACTAAATTTGAATGAAGTGAAATATAACCCGATGATGAATATGACATTGACTCATATTTTCTGAAAACACTAAAATTTATAACATGAATGAATTTCTTATTCGTTGAATTTATGAATTCTTGAGGTAATCTTATTCTAGTTTTATTTATCACTGGAAAATAACGCTTTACCATATTTTTAATCGTAATAAAAAAATGTCAATTATCAATATTATTTCGAATAATAACTGTGAATTAAATTTAACAGTTAGCGGAATTTATAATGTTACTCTCGTTTCTGTGAGTGGTAAATTTAATCCCATTCTTTTAAACCCTTCAGATTATATATCATTTATTAAAGATGACCATGAAAAAACGTATGATATGTATATAAATAATGTGATAGCGAAATGGGATATTAACACAATTTTAAGTTATTTAAATGAATCATTTATCGTATGGTATGAAGAAAATTTTAAATCAAAACCCGATAAACTTTTTGAACTTGATGAAATAAATAATCTTATTAAATTTCCGCTGAAAATTAAATTTTGTACTCCTCATCTTCGTTCATTGTTGGGGATATTAAATTTTGAAAAAGATGTTGGGGATGTTTTGTATTCTGACACTGGTTCTAATTTCATTTTAATCAAATGTGATAAAGTTAATACCCCAATGAGATTTTCACACCAAACATTAGACCCTAACTCTTACCCATCAATACAAAACATTTTATCCATCAACTTAAACATATTTTCTTTATCATATCCGTTTCAATTATCCGGGAATTCATTTATTCTTCATTCAAAAGATTTATCAAATATTAAATTTAGAATAACTGACCTATTTGATTGTGATTTAGAATTTATGAATGAAATATTATGGCAATTTCAAATAGAAAAAATAGCTGATGAGATAACGGATTAAATATTTATTTTTAAATCGTAATAAATGATTAAACAACAGCAACTTAAGGCACAAAACACCCAGGTCCTTCAGACCATTACATACGCCACATATGCATATAATTCAAAGACGGCAGAACAAACGCAAAGGTTGAAATATGGAGATTTGGAGATAGTATTGAAAAATGACCATTTTGAATTCATTTGCAAAGGTGGTGCAGTGATATCAAATATAAAAGAAATTTTATTTATGAATTCAAAAATTAAAGGAATAACGGATGATATAACATCAATTCCACCAGAAGAACAAAGATATTACGCATTAAATGCATTTCCTAAAGTTTTGAAGATTGGAAGATTTAATTTAAATGAGGAATTCATAAAAGGTTTCCTAAATGACATAATGAAGAAAGCAAATTTGGTTTATGTTGATGAAAAAGATAATGAAATTAAAGAAAGGGTTGATAGTGAATTAATGAAGAAAGCAAATTTGGTTTATGTTGATGAAAAAGATAATGAAATTAAAGAAAGGGTTGAATGGTATCATGAACGGACATCAAAGATTTTAAAAACTAAAGCTGATACAGGATGGGTTTCAGGATGTTTAGACCTTAAAGCAGATAAGGAATATGTTAACGATGAGTTAGGGAAGAAGGTAGATAAGGAATATGTTAACGATGAGTTAGGGAAGAAGGCAGATAAAACATATGTTAACGATGAGTTAGGGAAGAAGGTAGATAAGGAATATGTTAACGATGAGTTAGGGAAGAAGGCAGATAAGGAATATGTTAACGATGAGTTAAATAAGAAGGCAGATAAAACATATGTTAACGAAATATACCAAAGTTTGATAGGAACAAAAAATATTGAAACTATTGTTGGCGACTTTTCTGTCAATGAAGAAAATAAATATTTTAGATGGGTGTTTGTACAGTCCTTAAGAAATGGTATACGGTGGAAACTCATTCCGAAAAATAACAATGAAATGTATGTAAGTTATAAAAAGAATGATGGTACACAAGTTAAAGTTCCATTAGACAACAACTGCTACTTAAACTTATATGGAGACGAACAAAAGAAATATTTAAGAGTTTATGAAATGGTAGATATGACATTGCCTGACCCAGCTCCAGCACCATATTATTATGACTATGGTGTTGACGAAAGAACACTACACGCAGATGAACAAAAGCAAACATTATATTTAGATTTTTATAGATATAAAAGATATAATGCAATAGAAAAAACGAGAATAGTATATTATTATACAGATGACAGAAATAAATATTATAGTCAAGATTTTACCTACCCTGAAAACATAAGATTATATTATAAAAAATATTCTGGCACAAACCAGAAGAAACCTGAAATAGTTACACTATATTTTAAGTTCAAAAGAGACAATCCTATAATATCTCATATGTTTGATTTAATGAACCCAGTAGGTTCTATTTATACATCTATGGATGCAAGAGGTCCTCAAGTAATGTTTGGTGTTGGTGCATGGGAACAAATAGTTGACAGGTTTTTGTATTGTGCAAACTCTTCAAAGGAAACAGGGGGAAGTAAAACGATTTCAGGTGAAAATTTACCTGCACACAGTCACTACATAGATTTAAGCACATCTCAAGCAGGTTGGCATAAGCATAGATATTGGGATTGGTCAGGAATGACAAAAGGTAAAGGATATGATGTTAAAGACGACGTTAAATTTGCCATAAATTGTTACTGGAGTAACACTGAGGGAGGAGGAAACCATACACATCGCGTTTCAGGGTATACGCAAACAACGGGACAAAGTAAAGAATACATGCCACCATTTATGACTGTATTCGCATGGTATAGAGTTCAATGAATGCTCAATGTTTGTGAAACAAACTTTAGGAGCTCCAAAAGAGTGAACGGCATAATTTAAATTTTTATTTTAGTATAAATGAAGATTCTACCATATGGTGTTATTGGAAGAGATAAAGATGGAAACCCAATATTTGATCCAAAGTTAAAATTAAAGTTACTGACAAGACAACAACTTGAAAAGTTATTGAAACCAAAACAGGATGAGAAAATGAGAAAGAAAAAAATTTAAATTATGTAATTTTATTTTTATCATAAATGACAAAATTAATTAAGCCAACTATTTCTAAATTAATGTTACCAATGAAATCATTTCGTGGAGTAATTATCCCAGGTTCTTCACAATTAGCCAGGGTAAGTGTTGGGACTCAAGGTGGAACATTAGTGAATCCATTCAAATTATTAACTAAAGATGAACTTAATAAAATGATGATAAAATAACTGATAACAAAATTTTATTTCACTACTACCATAAAAACAGGTGAAATCTCACCTCTTCACCTCAATTATATTTTTGGTCAAAGCTTCCACGAGAGAAAAGATTCCTCATTCGCTAAGGATTCCAAAAATGAAAAAATCATTGATTTCGGCTGAGAAAAAACAGCAAAACCCTTCTTCCACGGGAACAAAGAAATAAAGAAGAAATAAAGAAGAAATAAAGTAAATTTTTTATTTATTCCCGTGGAAGATAGAGCACTTTTATGACATTTTTTATTCACGACAAACAAGACAAACAAAGAAAATGAGAAAATACGGCGCCGTCGCGGTTCGAACCACAGACCCCGACCCCTCCATAACACCACCTTAGACAACTGTGCTACGTAGCTTGTCGACATAAGATTTTATAAATTGCATATTTGACGTAAATTTATTTCCCAGTTATTCAATAATGACTTATTTTTGGAGAACTGAAGGTGTCACCATGTCACCATGTGTCACCAGGTTAATTAACTTCTCTGAAAAAATGAGACAACATGACATTTTGACAACAACACAGGAGGAAGGTAGTTATGAATTATTTTTGAATAACTGAAGGTGTCACTATGTCACTCGGTTATTTAACTCATGACATTTAGACAACATCATGGGTTATTCAATAATTAATTATTTTTGGAGAACTGAAGGTGTCACCATGTCACCATGTGTCACCAGGTTAATTAACTTCTCTGAAAAAATGAGACAACATGACATTTTGACAACATTTACGGAAATTTGATGCAGTCCAAAAATAAAGTTAGTTTTAAAATTATTTTTATTTTTTTATTCCTATATAAATGACAGCAACAAACAACAGCAACAGCAACTTTATCGTTTCTGATGAAAAAGTTATTGATTCATTAGCTGAGGAATTAGTTGTGGCAGAAACTAAAACCCTCAACGAAAGAATTGGTGAAAACAAGATTGATTTACATAACTACCTCAAACATGATGGAGGAAGAGGAAGGAAAACTGGTGTGGCTTTATTAGTAAATAAAATTTCAAATTTAACGATTATAGATGTTGATATCAATAAATCATACAATGATGAACTTAAAGAAACAGTTAGAAAAGATATTTTATCAAAACTTTCGGATAAAGATGTTATCGTTAAAACCGCTTCAGGAGGTCTTCACATTTATTGCAACACTAATTTCTTCTATGCAGTTTCGAACAGAATGATTAAATGTTATTCCTGCAATGATTATGATATTGATATCATGACTTCAATGGATGATTCAAAGCGTTCATTAGTAGTTATGGCTGATTCAAGAGTTCGAAAGAATGCAACAGAACCAATCAAAACATACTCATTCATTCGTGGAAGTTACGACTCGACCATAACCAGAACAGTGAATGATATATTAAATGATTTGAATATTAAGGTAAGAGTTGAACAGAAGAACGAAGAAATAAAGACTATCATGAATGAAAACAAAGATGTAAACATTGACGATAAACTTGCCCAGAGCATAGTTGATGGTATTAGTGATTTTGAAGTACATAATGACGGTGGAAACATGAATTTAGAAAAAGAAGTTACATTATTCACACTGTTTCAAGCAATTAATTCGTTACCTAATCATTTAATTAATGAAGCATACGATAACGTTTATAACTTCTGCAATTTAACTGAAAATGCAAAAAGTAATTTTGAAAAAGCACGTAGTAGATATGCACATTTAATGACTTCTCCATTTGTTTTAGTGAAGATTCTAAAACTTTATCAAAAGGAATATTATGATGAATACGTTTTGCCTTTATTACGTAAGCCAAAAATAACATTTGATATCAAACTTGATGACTCGTTTTTGATAACAGATATTAGACGCAAGGCTGAAAATCATCAGTATAAAAACAGTTCTGAAGTAATTGAGGATTTATCACGTGTAATCCGTTTTGTAGATTGTGGAAACAAATATTTCATTCAGAAAGATTACAACATACACGACAAAATGAATCAAATATCATTCGTTCTTCAATCAAACATGAAAGAGTCACTCAAAATGATTAAATTATTTAAAGAAGAAGGTAAAACCATAACAGCATGGGACGTACTACTAAATCAATTATCCTCATTAACCGTTAAGGGTGTTTGCTTTAAATCTGATTCTCCAGATGTTTTCTCAACGTTTCAAGGTTATAAATACAACATTCTTGAAAAACCAGATTACTCAAAAATTGAGATGTTTATGAATTTCATTAAAGAAGTCATTTGTGATAATAACGATGAAGTGTATAAATACCTTCTCGGCTGGATTGCATCAATGATTCAACATCCTGGAATCAAGAATGAAACAGCAATTATTTTGAAAGGACTTCAGGGAACAGGTAAAAACAGATTTACAGACATTATTTCTGAACTTCTCGCTGGTTATTCATGTAAAAACATTACTGAAATAGGTGAGCTAACGGGTAATTTCAATTCAGTAGTTGAGAATAAAATGTTTCTTGTACTTAATGAACTCAAGAATGTAGGTGAAGACAGACTCGCAAACTTCAACGCTTTGAAATCAATTATTACGGATAATGAGATTAGAATTAATGAAAAGAATCAACCCAGAAGAACAGCACAGAACGTTGCAAACTTCATTTTCGTAACTAACAACGTCTACCCTGTCAAAATTGAAGTTGGAGACAGAAGATATGTAGTTTTAAGAGTTAATGGTAAATTCAAGGGTCAATTTGATTACTTCAAGAATTTGATGAATTCATGCACTAAGGAATTTTATGATAATTTGCTAACATATTTTATGCAATATGACCTTTCATCATTTAATGTACGAATCATACCGATGACTGAAGCCAAACAAGATTTAATTGAATTATCAACAAATCCTTTAGATGCATGGATAAATACACATTATGATGAATTGTGTGCAGGTATGACATGTAAAAATGCTCTATTCTGCAAACCATCAGACATGAAAGACAAGAATTTCCAAATGAGTATTAAGGATAAATGTGATAGGAAACAGGTAAGAATAGATGGTAAACAAACATGGTGTTATGTTTTGAAAGAAGAAATGAAAGGATTATATAAACAGGTTGAACCAAACGATAATGAGGAATCATTTACTGACGATGAAATACCTGTAAATGAAGCTTTATAAAGTATGATTTGAATTTATTTTTGCATTCTCTTGTACCTGTTGTCAAAATGTCATGTTGTCTCATTTTTTCAGAGAAGTTAATTAACCTGGTGACACATGGTGACATGGTGACACCTTCAGTTCTTCAAAAATAAGTCATAAATGTCTTCCTCCTGAACTGTCAAAATGTCATGAGTTAAATGACATTTTGACGTGGTGACACCTTCAGTTCTTCAAAAATAATTCATAAATACCTTCCTCCTGTGTTGTTGACAAATCATTTACGATGAAGTCTTGACAAATCATTTACGATGAAGTCTTGACAAATCATTTACGTAAACATTAATTTCCCCGACTGTTGACAAATCATTTACGATGAAATCATGACAAATCATTTACGATGAAGTCTTGACAAATCATTTACGATAACACATATTTCCTGCTGTGTTGTCAAAATGTCATGTTGTCTCATTTTTTCAGAGAAGTTAATTAACCTGGTGACACATGGTGACATGGTGACACCTTCAGTTCTTCAAAAATAATTAATTATTGAATAACCTGAAACCATTAATGAAAACATTATTTTTGGTTCATTAACACTCATTACGATGAAATCTTGACAAATCATTTCCGGGACTGTTGTCAAAATGTCAAGACCTTCAGGTCTCGTCACACAGTGACTGTTGTCACAAACTTTAGAACGGCATAATTTAAATTTTTATTTTTATCATAAATGAATACCCCACAAGCTCAAAATTTACCACGAATCATAACAAGGGAGGAAATGATAAAAATGATGCAAGAACATGTTAAAAATAACAAACCACTAAAATTGAGAAAATGTGGTTATGCAGTAATGATGGAAAGAGAGATGTTGTCGAAGAGGAATAAAAATTAAATTTGGATAGAGTTTAAAAATTCATCTTTATTAAATTCATCTCTTCCAATCAATTTATTTATTCTATTAAATTCTTTTATTTTTGCTTCACTCAATTTAATGATTGAACGGTAAGTTTCTAATTTTTCGATTATTTCTTTATCGTTTTCAACCCCACCACATTGCAGCTTCTTTTTGTAATAGCATATTTTTGATTTAATTCTGTTTAGTTTCTTTTTATATTCATCGTCTGGACTCTTGACTGCTTCGTTGTCACTCATTTCTTACGAAATAAAAAAAATTAAATATTATTTAAATATAATGGAGTAATAAAATAAATCGGAATTTCTATTAATTTATTGTCAACTTCAACTAATGCATTGCCGTTAATATATCTAACAAATTCGGCTATTGTGTCAAATCTTCGTCTTCTTTATCATTGATTTATCAGTTTTTCCATAATCGAGATGAATCAAAACTTTATCCCCTTGTTTAAAATTCATGAGCCCCGAATTAATTTGTTCACGTTTAACATCATTCAACCTTTCCATTTGCTTTCTAATATATTCCCATTCTTTTGAAATATCATTTTTCATTTCCACTGGTTTCATGTTAATAGTTCTATGCCATGTATTATTGTAATAATATACTAACTGCTGTATGATGGAGTCATGATTTCCATCCCAGTATATCTGACCGTTAACCCCTAACGCATCTCTAAGAGTTCTCATTACTGCATCAACTATTTTATTATGAAACGTATATGGAGAGGATGAGAAGTAAAAATTAATTTGTGGGAAATAATGAGTCATGGCTGCCTGAAATCCTTTATCACCATCACCCCTTATATTATCTACTCTTTCATGATCTAGTAAGTATTGAATAGCTCTTCTTGTTTCCTGTTCTGTTTTCCCTTTCACCGGAATGCAATATAAATATCTAGTGTTAATGTTAATGGCAAATAAATAAGTAATATTTCCTTTTGAATATTCCAGATGATCGATTTCGTATGAATATGGATATGGTGCAAATGAAGGGCGACTAAATTTTTCCTTTAACGGTTGAATTTTTGGGTCAGTTGGTTTATTTAATATTTTGAAATCCTTTTTAAAATCTTTTTGCTTCTTTAATGTTTGAAATGGATATAATAAAGTGAATGATGAAGGATTAACTGAAGGAGGAGGTACTACTGTTGGAGGTTTTGGTGTTGCAAGTGGTTTAATTTTATCTGCTTTGATTTTGGATGATGAAGTTTTGGATTTCATTCCCCCCTTCATTAATTCCGGATGTATTCTATTCATTTGTTTTAAATATGCTGTATATAAAGGTTTGATATACTTTCCCGCTTCGAGTTTATGTTGAAGGATGAATTCCAAAAGTTGATCTTCATTTAAAAGTCGGGCTGAATATGGTTTAACTAATGAATCATAAATTAAAGCTTGTGCTTCATTTATGAGCTGCTGAACCTGGGTGTTTTGCACCTTTTGTTTTTGTTCCTTTGGTTTTTGTGGCTCAGGATTATATAATTTATATAATTCATCAATATCTTCTTCTGTTAATACTTTATTTTTGAAATCTTTCAACTGTTTAAGTTGTGATTTAGTTTTTCCCTTTGAATATTCATTATTTTTAATTTTGTCTTTAATTTCAGAAATTATTTTATTATGATATTTCAAAATTTCATTTTTATAATATGGATAATAATATTCCATATCATCACCCGTTATATTTTTATTATATTTTTGGAGATATGATTTTAATTCATAATAATTAAGAAATTTTTGATTAAATACTAAATCACCGATTAAATTTTTTAAATCTACGCTATCCATTTATATAAAAATAAAATAAATGTTTTAAATAAATGGCATACAACATCCATTTTCACAACATACAGCCTTAGTGTGTGCTCCTGTTAATGCAGTCTTACCGATTGTTAAGCGAGTCATTGACCCGTTTTTAAGTTGTAAATTAATATTTTGACCATCAAATATCACTTTATCATTTATTATATCCAAATAATTTTTAGGTGTTAATTGTTTATTTTGTCGTAAACTTACACCTTTCATTTTTTGTGCAATCTTTTTAAAATCACTTCCATCAATTGAACCGTTGAATGATGTATAACACTTAGGGCATAAAGCAACCATGTTATCACCTTGTTTCTCAATTGCTAAACCCAATAACTTCTTCTCATGTGCTTTTTCTTCAGCTTTATTCTTTAATTTAGGTTTAAATTTCTCATCAAAACAGAAGAAATCAAAAGGTGCGAATTTGAAAATGTTTTTATCATAAAATTTTTTATCGGTAACAATTGCTTGAAATGCTTGAGTGTTAGGAAGATTTGGGTCGCCAGCGATTGCCCAATATGATGAATCAGTATCACCTTCAATGAAATGAAAACGATTAACATCCATGCATTTATACATAAAATCATAAATGAAAACCAAATACCAGTATTTAGCATTATCTAAAGTGAAGAATGCCTCTTGTAAACATGTATCACATCTATAAAATCTATCTTTGAGCATCACTTGATATGTATCTTCACCTATTTCTCTTATGTTTTTAAACTTATTTGACATACATGCAACGCGTGCCTTCTGTGCATTCATTATTTTAGTCTTTGCGTAATTTTGTGTATTCATTGCATCGTAACCATATGATCCATTAAGTGAAATTTTGCAAAATAAACTTTTTCCTTTATTTCCTTCTAATTCAGCCTTTTGTCTTTCATTCATAAATTTGTTCGCAAATTCATTAAAACAAGTGTTTTTCGTAAATGTTAAAATTGATTGAATGTCATCAATGATAAAATGAAATCTGTCTATTAGATACCAAAGATAATAAGAAGAAAATGGTTGATATTGGTTGTGTGTTGATGCTAACTGAGTTAATTTTCTCTGTTTCTGGTCAACTGGTAGATTGTTTGATTTCATGTAATTATACATAAAACTACCAATTGTTTTTTCATCTGTGATAATATCTAAGTTTCTTATTATCGGTAAAAAGTTTATGTAATCATTAATGTATTTTTCATCAATGTGACCCTTTACTTCAGCCACGAATAAAGTATTTTTCTTCTTAATTATTCCCAATGCTTTTGCTTTTTTTGTTGCTGTATCACAAATGATAACACCATTCAATCTTCCCGGCATATACATTTTATGGTCAGTATATTGAATGAAATCATGAGGATTAGATGAAAATGATGAAGGATATAATGAATTAAAATCAACACCAACGAAATGAGTCATAATGTTGGTGGTGTCCTCATTTGATACAGTTTTAGTTTCTGGATTATATGAAAGTTTATTAATGTGCGTGATTCCTTTAAGATTTACTCTATGTTGAACATTTGATAAACCACCAGTAATTCCATTACGGAGAATGTGATAAGCTTCAACTGAATCTAAAGTCATTGGTAAATTATTTTTTAATGCGTAATTTCTTAAATTGATTCTTAAACGTTGAACATCTTCATCTTTATTTGATTTTACGACATTGCAATAACAACACATTAACTGACAATTTTCTTTAGTATGTGGTTTTTTCATTATCGATTCTATCCAATGTTGGTTTATTTGCATATGTAAACGCTTTACCACACATTTTGCATTTAGATGAAAGGATTAAATCGTGATAGTATTGAAAATCATCCATTGAAACATTATTTTTAGTATCCCTTTCTGCTTTTTCATCTTGTTTCTTATATGATTCAATTTTATATTTCCAATACTTTTTCGTTAATTCAAAACTTGATTCTATCTCTTCCTCAGGATATTTTTCATTAGGATTAAAGTCTTTATATGCTAAAGCGTAACGAATCATTGAAGCATTCGATGATAAAGAAAGATTATGAAGCATGTCAATTTTATAAACAAATGTTTCTTCAATAATTTTATCAATTGGGTCAATCATAATTTCAACATCTTTATTGCAATAATGAATAAAATATTCTAATCTATTCTTAAAGTTTTTAGCATCATTGAGATATATTTGATAATCACTATCTGATATAGTTTCTTGGTTAATGCTGAATAAAATGAATCTTGAGTGAATGGTTCCTCTTTATATAATTCTTCTTCGTAATTCTCCCATGTGATGAATTGATAAGGGAAAAAGGATTTAACACGTGATTTATTGTTTCCGAAATCTTGAGTGAATTGGTCTAATGTCCCACCCGCTATATAATTTCTGATGTCAATAAATCTCAATTCATATGGAACGTTTGTTTTCTTTACAATGATTTGCTTAAATTGAGAAGAAGAACCCAGCATTGATTTTATCTTCCATTTTGCAGTATTTAAATCACGAAGAATTTAAATTCAAACTTTCCCGAATTAAAACCTATGATATTCACTTTATTGAATTCCTCATCTAGAAGTTCTTTAAATGCTTCCTTCTGTTTCTCATTTAATGTATTCATTAATTCTTCATATTGTTCAATATTTGATTTAGCAACTAATGAACAGGTTGAAAATAAAAATTCAATCCAATCAGAGATGAACGAATCACTTGATGTTAAGCAAAAATTCCTCGTAAATGTTTTATCATGGTCTACGACCTCGCCGCTTCGGTCTGAAAGACCTTCAGGACTCAAAGAGTCCGTTTGCGGCTTTATTTTGACAGTTGATGATACCATAAATGGTTTTAAGTAAGCGTTCAAAGTTGCACACTCAGAAAGTTGTAATTCTTCTTTAGTCTCTAATGTTTCGAAGTCAAAAGTAATATAATATCTTGTCGGTTGATAATATTCCTGCAAATTATGAGCTAATAACCACTGATATATCTTCTGTTTCGTAATATGTGGTGCATATGGTTGTTGTGTGTTTTGCAATTGAACGTCTTGAATTAATCTTCCATTATTTTCTTTACATTTCTCACAATGTTTTAAAAATCTTCTTTGGTTTTTCCTTTCTGGATCATCACGGATAGAATAAACTTCTTCTTTACAATATGGACAAACTTTATAGCCTGTGAGTGCTTCAACGTCTGTTATTCTGTCAGCGTGAAGTTTTCCACATGGACTTTGTGTTAATAAAATATTTACTGTTTCAAATTCTGGATCTATCATTATTGAATCCACTAATGGAAAGTCTACCTTATTTATGTCCACGTCTTCTGGTTGAGGATCACAATAATAGAAATCAATATTAACATTTAACATTCTCGCTAATCTCTCACTTTCTGATGAAATGTCAAATCCTTCATATGCATCTATTGCTTCATTTAAATAGCTTCTACGAGTTTTAGGATTAACACCATCAGGAATGTTATAGAAGCGTTTAAATAACCTTCTACCTTCTGCTCTAATTTGATTATCATTCATTTTAGCTGTTCCATTTTTGTTCATTTATGTAAGAATAAAAATTAAAAAATAAATAAAAATAAAGTTTATTTTTTAAAGTCCATAAAATGAATTAAGAACACATAAATTTTTATCATCTGCGACGTGACGAATACATTTTAATTTACTCAAGAATGCGTACCCTGATACATTAAATCTAATTCCTGTTTTATTTAATTTCACAACTTTGAAAAGGAATGTATGAATAGCTATAAAATGATGAGATGATGTTTTATGGGTTGCTTCCATTTTTTCTGAAATAAATGAATAAATATAATGTTTATAAGTTTTCATATCTTTTATGTTCTTAATAACGAATGGTATAGACCTTTCAACTTCGTCTTCCTTCGGTGCTGTTCTTTCATATGAAACATTATTAGTATCTTCAATAATGAAACCACAATCACACAAAATTTTATAGGTTCCAATGGTTTCTTTTGATATTTTATCTAATAAATCAAAAACTTTATCAACACCTGTGCATTTATTTAAATAATAATTTGTGTAAATATCATGATCTTCTTTCTTAATCGTATTAGTTGCATATGTCACGTTTTTAAGAGCTTTTTTGAATTTCTCAGAATCTAAAGGTGGTGAAAGCAGGATACAGGGGTATTCTTCATTATCAATAAATTGTAACTTATGTTTATGAATAAATTTAGTACCTTCTTCTGAAAGTGTTTCGTCTATTTCACCATCTAATAAATTTTGTGTTGATTCTGAGACATAATTTTTATATCTTTCTTCATGAGATTTCTGAACTTCTGATTCTGAAGCTGGGATATTCATTAAACCCTCTACTTCATTTTCATTATATTTTTCAACTTCTCTTAATTCCTTAATTTTTTCATCTATTTCATCTCTTATTTTTTCCAGTCTTTCAATTTCATCGTATTCATCATCTTTAATCCGTTCTTCATAATATTCAGGGAAAACATCAGGTTCTTTAGGTTTTTCTTCTTCAGATGTGGGATATAAGAAATTTATAACATCATCTTTATTCATTTTTCCATCATAACCAAATTCATTTAAAAACTCCGCGAATTTTTGACAATTTCTTAAATAATATTTACTAACCTCATACCCCGCCTCCTCTAATATATCCTTTATTTCCTCGTTTGTGAATCCTAATGTTTTCACATCGTTAGTTTTGACGCTCATTTCATACAAAATAAAAAATAAATTATTCAAAAATGTAAGACATGAATTTTTAAAGTTTATTTTTTAAAAATTTTTTTATTTCATTATGGTAGTGAATCTTTTATTCATGAAAATAATTATTTCTAATTTCTTTTACTCTCTCGTACATACTAGATTTGAAGAATTCAGAACATTTCCCATAATCTCCTAAATGTTTTCTTATCCCCAACGTGTGCCAGTTATTATATGAAACTGTATAAACTTTATCTTTATCTTTACACCTTTCATCACTTCCAATATATTTATATTTCAATTTTGATTTAGCATTTTCATATTCATTAGCGTTTAATAATTCACAGTCTTCCTTTTTAAATTGATGTTTAAGATATTCAGGATTTAATACTCTACGTTTATATGCTCCTAACTTAGTTCTAAAGGTTTTTCTACAAAATTTAGGAATTAAAAAAAAAAAAAAAAAAAAAAAAAAAAAAAGGGAGTGGGGCTTCCAGGCACTTCGTGCCTTCTAGCCCTGAGGATGATTGATATAATGAAGTTTTTTTTTTTCTTGGGGTGGCCTTCCAGGGGCTGCGCCCCTTCTAGCCCACATAAATGAAGTTCTTATATTCGGAGGGCTTCCAGGAGCTTTTCACAAATTATATATGTTTTCATGCTTTGTCACTTTTCTGTCACTTTTCGGGTAAAAACATTTTTATTATTATATATAAATGAATTTTACAAAACCACCGTTACCGTTCTTTGGAAATAAGAGTAGATGTAAAGATATTATATTGAGAGAACTTAAGAAACTACCGAATGGTCTAACATTTGTAGACTTGTTCGGTGGAAGTTTCTATATATCTCATTTGTGCCATACAATATTTCCTGACTCAAAGATTATATGCAATGACTTCGACAACTATATGAACCGTCTCAAACATATACCAGACACAAACAAAATATTGAAAGAGTTAAAAGAAAAGATACCTATAGGTAAGATGGAACGTATACCATTAGATAAGAAAAATACTGTCAGAGAGGTTTTGAAAAAGGCAGAGTATATTGACTGGGATAGTATATCTGCTAGACTATTATAATAGTGGTGCTATAAGAGTTCATGACATTGAAACACTTATGTCAAAAGTTTTATATCTTTAACTATACAATGTTTTCAAAGAGAACATAGAAAAATATAATTGAGGGTATAGAGTTTTGGTGAGATGTCATTGACAGAGTTGTATGAAAAATATAAGACAAGGAAAAGTTTTCTTATAGTGGACCCGCCGTTCTATAAACATGGGATTTTCAATACCAAGTAGACTGGACTTTGAGAGACTCTTTAGAAACTTTAGACGTTTTATAATAACCATCCATGCTTTTACTTTACATCCGATAAAAGTGGTTTGGAAAGTGTCATGAGATGGTTAGAGGACATACATACTATGAGTTTAGATACGATAAGAT